TTAAGATATAAATCATAATATTCGCCTAAATTCTTACATTCAAATTTATTTCAAATCATTTGTGCACAATTATAATTTTCTTGTGATATTTTACCACTGATTTTACCATAAAATGCTTCGATAGATAGTAATTCTATTTCAAGAAATCTAGCTGGTGAATCAATATATTCATAAGGATAAACTTCTTTAACACATAACATTGCAATTTGTTTTTCGATATATTGTTTTAAATAATACTGTTTGGTTATTTTATAGTTTTCAAGTGATTCTATACATCGATTTTTATCTATTCTATATAAATGCTTACATTTTATATCTTTACATTTTACACCACTCAAATTTTCTGCAAGATTTGATAAGCTTGTATTCATAAATTGCATGAATCAATATATCTGAATTGATCAACTCAAATAGATTTATATTTTTCAAAAGTTTCTGCAATTACTCTTATTTGATGTGCTTTAGCTGATTTAGATAATGATTAGACTACAAGGTGAGAATCATATCCTCTAAAGTTATGAAATACTATTGAAATTGATGTTTTTCCAGCTTCTATTCGTAAATCTAAATTACATTTACTGTGATATGCACCACGATATTTACCTGAAATATGGCAATTATTCCAAACTTTATTGTTTTCTAAAGGTTTATTACAAATCCAACAATTTGTAGCATTATCAAATTTTTTGTGATATTCATTAGTTATAATTCTATCTACTTTAATTGCTAAAATATTATTAATTCGTTTATATTCCATATCTATTTGGTTTACAAATTCTTCTGTAGCATTAGATTCACGATATAGAAAAGGTTCCCAAATATCTCCAGTATCAATCCAATGAATTGTATAACTAAAACTATTGGCAGGTTGTTCTGCTATCTTTTGCATATTTCTACCATAACTCTCATTTTTACTTATATTAAATCCTTCAAAATTGGCAAATATAATACATGGAGCATTTATCATTCTTTTAAAATTTGTAAATTTCTCGATATTTTCTTTGCTATTATTTTTTGGCATTGTAATTACTTGAGGAGCTTTTTCTAATCCATAACAATGATTTCTATGATGATCTCTTCCACCTTTTGTATTGAAACTTATAAAACATTTATTGCAAAAATATCTTTTTGTAGTATATGTTGTATCATTAAAAGCCAATTTATCTTTATCTTTAATCTATAAGAAATGTGTTCTGGTTTTATATTTATCTTCTTTATCTATGTCTTGGCATGAGCTCTGCTCTACATTTTTTATTAGATTGTAATTGGAATAAGCTATTTCTTCAGTTTCAGACAATGTCATAAGATGGATAATCTCATGTTCTTTATGACATTCATTTGATCTGGAATGCTTATATCCTGCAACTGTACAAAAATTTGAAATGTAAAAATTCTTACTATGGATTACTGGTTTTGGTCGACTTTCTTTTTCTTTCCATCTTCATACATTAATAGATAATGTAGGATTTTATTTTTCGATTTTTTTAAATATTCTGACATATATAGGTGTTGACATTGAAATACCATTCAAATTAACAATATCCAAGTATTTTTTATATTCTTTTGTAGTAAATATATGATGAAGCTTATTATTATATTTATCTTTATTAGCAAAATAACAAGCTAATACACCTTGAAGACAATTATAAGATGGCTTGCCTGTAATTGGATCAATTATATTTGAATTATCGGAATTGATTGTAGCTTTCTTTGATGCCAAATTTGGTGGTGTTGGTATATATGATCCTCCAACTGCTCTTCGAAAAGTATAAGCTTCAATAGTTAACATTTCGATTCCTACTAAATTCCAACCAGATTCTAAATTCATAAATGTATTGATTTGTTCATCTATTTCAGGTATTGAAAGATCTATATGCTTATCAATATCATTTTCAGAAAGAATGGTACGCATTTTACTTCTATATTGAATATAAGAATATTTATCTTTTGATTTTATTGTATCTTTATATATGCAATTGGCAACCAAAGCTGTTTTTATTTGATCTTTTCTGCGTAACTCTGCTTTAAGAACTTTTGATATTTGATCTCTTGCTATAGCTATTAATTGTGGCATATATGGAACTTTTAAATATTTATGGGGATTATCAACATATACATTAAATCCATATTTTGGATTATTTGATAAAGGAACAATAGCTTGCCATAAATTCATTGATTGTAGATTTTGATGTGGTTTTAATGGATCTATGTTTTTTTCACATTCTTTAAATAATAATAATCCATTTGGTAATGAATAATTGGTTCTTTTAAGTGGATTAATTAACATTCCTTCTTTATATACTTTTCTTTCTGCTTTATTGGATAAAAGATTTCTACCCAATTCAGGCCAGATATTATCAGAATTTATGTTATATCATTCTTCCATTTTATCAAACCATTCTTCATCATTTTTGAAAAGATCATTATTTGTAGGTATATTTTGAGTAGGAGATGGAAGTGAGTCATCCAATAAAATTAATTCACCTACAGGAACTTGAATAGAAGTAGGTTCTGAAATAGGAGGTTGAGTAGGTACTGGAATAGATTGTTGAATTGTCTTAGGTTTACATGGAAATTTACAAGCAAAATGTTTATCAAGATCTTTTTGTTTTGCTGTTTCAGCAAATATATGACCACATCTAGGGCATGGTGGTATCATTTTGGATATGGATGTTGATACTCTGTTGTTTGTATTAATATACCAGATCTTTTGTTTAAATTGAAATTATTCATATTTATATCAAAAAATTTTATACCAACGAAAATATGGCAAGAAATAAAAATCTATCGTCATTGAAATTTGAATTTAAAAAAAATATTAAACGATTCTAGATATATAATTTTGAACACTAAAAAAAACTATATAAAAAATGATATAAAATATAGCAGGAGACGTTTAAAAAGAATTTAGGCTATAAATTAATAGAGGTGTTCAAAAAGTGGCCCAGAAAATACATTTTTCCTCTACTGGTTCTATTTACTCAAAATATATATCATCCCAATATACTACATTTCAACTTCTCCTTAATTTTGCATAAAATCCAAATAGAACGGATTAGCATAATTTGCAATACTAATGGATTTTTAACACGTTAGTTTTGGTACTTACTTCTTATGAAACTATGCTAACAGCAACAAGTTAATATAAAGTAAAATTGATATAGTTATATAATGTTGTGGTTAGATTATAAATAGTAATTTCTATAATATATAAGGTATATATATAATTTTAAATAATAAAGCATATTATGGCAAGATCCAGCTAGTTGATCAAAATATATATATAAATAAATATATATATATATATAGTGAAATTTGATATAGTGAATATTTGATATAATAGATATTTGATATAGTAAAAACATATAAAAATCTCAATATAGTGGAATAAACTCAAAAGCAACTATAATAAAATAATCTTAATATAATAAATTTAATAATAAAATTTTAAAAAATCTTATTATAGTAAAATTTTCGAAATTTTTTATTAATTGTTTTAGAATTATATTATATTAAATTTTACTATATATACAGTATATAATAAAAAATTAATGTTTACTGCTTGTTTTATTTTTTTAAAAAAAAATGGATAATTTTATTTTTATTTTTTAATATTTAAAAACCTTATACATTTGTTTTATTTTTATTATAAAAGTTTTAAGAAAATTAAAAAAATATATTGATATTAGAATAAAATCTTTAATTAAAAAAAAGCAAGTTTAAAAATCTTGTTTCTTTTTTAAATTATATAAGAAAAGACATATAATAATTATTTTTTTATAAATTGTTCTTAAAATTCTTTTTATTTTTATTTTTTATTAATATACAAAACTAATTAAATAAATATATTTTTTTTTAAAGAATTGTTTTTTAATTTAAAAAATTAAAATTTTATCTTAAAATTGTTTATATTATTAATATAAAATTATATTTAATTTATTTTATCAATTAATTATTACTTATTATATATAATATTATTAATAATATTTTTCTATAACAAACTTTAATAACTAAATTAAGATATTTTTGAAATATCAATTAAATATATATCTTATTTGAAAATTTTATTATAATATAGCTAATATATTTTTATTTATTAAAATAAAATAGAACAAAAATATTATTATTAAATTATTTAACAACTTCAAAATCAATTTTAAATTCTCAAACATAATTAAATATTTATCAATTAATTTATTATAAAATATAATATTTATTAATTTATTTAAATATTTATAACTTTTTAATATTTTTTGATAAGATATATTGTTTTAAAATTATTTTTCAATATTAGTTAACTAATTTTTATAATAAAAAATATTTCAATTAAAATTTAATAATAAATAAATAAATATAAATTTATATATATATATAAATTTTTAATTAAATAATATAAGCCAAGATATTGTATTATTATGTTTTAATATAATATTTATATAATATATTTTATATATAGTATCTATATATACACTCTCGTTTATAAACCGTTTAATGGAAAAAATCACTTTGGCGGATGATCACAACATCTACGTTCGATTTTACTTATTTTGTTTTTGCATATATGGTATGAAATTGGGAGTTGTATTCACATATACATACGTGAATTTTATTGGTGCGACATCATGCAGAATTCAATACACGACTATGAACTGAATGTTTCATAAAAATACTCACGCTAGGTTTGGGTGTTATTATTTGCATCAAACATTACCATACTGATTTTTAGTGGTTTGGATTTTTCACAAAAAAAAACCTATTCATTGCTGAAATAATTTTCATATAAACATGCAAGTATTATTTTATGTGTATAGCAGAATTATAATAAAAGTTTATCAATAATCTATTCAAACTTGTTTTTTTACTGTGATTTAAAGCAGGTTCTTCGGAGTTCGAGTTGATTTACCCCCTACATTTATGATGTCTATTAGATTTTTTTTATAAAAAAGTTCTATATGGAATTGCAATGCAAATTTGTAATATTTTGTAGTGCAAACATAAACATGAAAAAAAAATTTTCATATGAAGCCCCCGAAACGGCTGCTTTATCAGAAAAAATGCAAACCACAGGCGGAATGCCACCCGTGGCTTGTCAATACTTAAGTCTTAAGATTGATTATTGCCGTAAAGTTAAAGGTACCTCATTTGCTGTATAGGAGAGCACCGTAAATGCTTTGTTGCATGCGTGAATTTTTGTAAAACATTGATATTTAAAACTTTGGTGTTAAGCTAAGCTTTATCCTTTTTGTTTTTTGGAAGGAAGAGTACGAGATATGTGAGTGACACATTTTTTTTTACTGATATATGATGTAATGATGTGCGTAATTTGATTTACGGAATAGGTGCGCACGCACAATATGCGAGAATTATATATTATATTATTACACTATTAAGGTCAAAACAACAATCAGTTCAATTATAAAGAGAATTGTATCTGTTATTATTATAAGAAGAAAAAAAAATTTTTTTTTTCAAATTTAGAACACAAGAATGACTAAAGTATTTTTTTTATATATGTTTTTGATGTAAGATTTTGCATTATTATTAGTCTTGCTTGTTATGGTCTTATGATCAAATAAATAAAAAGAATAACAACAAGTAAGTGAGTAATATATATCAGCCCCCCAAAAGTTTGTTTAACTAGTGTTTTATATGTGTTTGATAAATCAATGTATTAATAATGATATACTTTTGATCAAATTGCTTTTATGACAAACTTTTTATTCACTCTTACATCCCCTATAAATTGGTGTCATTTTCTTACTTACCTTTAAATTTTTTCTTTTTTTCCTTTCAAAAAACACATACATACATCTATATATCAATTTTTTTCAAAAGAGTATCCTTGTTAACAGCCACCCAAAATAAAATATAAAAAAAAAATTTATTTTTTTAAGTTATCTATTTCAACTTTTACATTCAGTTCGCCATACATCTTTTTTATAGTTCAACTTTCACTTCTACTAGATTCATACTTTTGTTTTTAATTATCTCGTAAACTTTGGTAAACATCATTGAACATATATTATGGATAACAACGAAGCTTTAACAAAACCAAGAAACGTCACTCACACTTTATATAAATTAAATGGTTGGATCAGTCGAGGTTTGATCGATCTCAACCCTGACTTTCAAAGAGGTAATAATTCGTTTCTTCCTCATTAGTCGTGTGTTGAAAGGGAATACGTATCTTCGACGGTAATAAATTAATACCTCACCTATTGATTAACTTCATCATTATTTTCTTCTGTCGAACAAATAAAGATATCGTCTGGAGAGGTAATTTATCATTCTTTCCTATTCGTCTATCGCTATCGATAAAAACTCACCTCTAGCTGTTCGTTTCCAAAATCCCACTCAGATATAAAACAATCTCACTTGATCGATTCGATCAAAAACAACTTTTACGTTCCTCCCGTGATTTTTTCATGCAAGAAAATTCAAGATGGAGAAGGATCTAATAAAACGCTACGTGTTTGCATCGATGGAAAACAGAGATTAACTTCCATCCGTAGGTGAGTCATCTGATCAAAGTTTGGCTGCAAAAAGCGCAAATAAACGTCTTGTGGTTATTCACGTGATAATCACATGGTCATTTATGTCGATTTTTCTGGTGCGATAGATTTTTTAACAACGAAATACCCCATCTGATTCCCGATGCACCGAGAAGCACCAGGAGATTTTATAGTCTTGAAAGTGAAAATTGTTTCACCGAGTATGAGAGGGAAAATATTTTTGATTGCGCAGAATTTGTGTGTGGTGCGTATTACCCGCCATATTATCATTATCATAGTCATTAGTCATTACTTATTCATCTCCCTCTCTTAACAGTCGAATACTGGGATCTTACTTTGTCTCAAGAACAAGAAATCTTTAGCAGAGTCCAACTTGGCATGCCACTGACTAATGCAGGTAATTGTTCTGTCTTCCGACTTACGCTTACACTTAATTGCTAATCGCGTAATTAACACCAATTACACTACAATAGAAAAACTTGCATCAATCAGCAGTCCAACTGTTGACTTCGCCCAAAATCTATATGCCACTTACAATTCGATTTCACAGATCATTGACACAAAGCGTGGAAAACCTCTTGAACTTATCACCCAAACCCTCTACATGATAGAGAATGAACCGGAAAAGCAAGTTTTTACCCACAATAACCTCACCAAATATCTCAAGGATGATCGCGAGGTGCCAATTCGTTTAAAACAAACCGCAAAAACTGTCTTCGAAACTCTGGACACATTGATCGAAGAAAATGCCGCGTTATTTAGCGAAAATCACAAATTTGCCCCTATCGAATTCGTATTCTTCTGTTGGATTATCGCCAAATTTCCAAAGCTGGAGATTTGGCAATATCAAATGTATCTGAAAGAAATGAAAGAACACGTAAAAACATATCATACTGATATCAGGTTCAATGCCAAGGTCTACGCTACCTTAAGAGAATATGTCGTGGATCTAGAACCTGATGAATTGGTGGGAGACTACGGATCTGGGAAAAGACCCAGATGTGGATTTATGGCTGTGGAATCTTCAAAGAAGATTAAGTTGGAGGATTAATGAATTAATTATCAACGAACGGTGGAAAAGTATAATGTGCTATTATTGATGCGCTTCGTTGGAATATTCCGTTGAAAATGAAATAGTATTTATGAACAGCGATTTTGGCAATAATAAGATTGAATGACGATAACATCTGTGTTTCCTCATGCTTCATTTCGTTCTTTAGTTTGTAGTTACCTATTAATTCGCCCTTTCGCCTACCCAAATATCATCATAATGTACATTTTTTTAAAAAAAAAGAAAAAAAGAAAGAAAAAAAAGTTAAAATTTAATAGATTACTGTGCATCTAATTCCTCTATTACCATAGCAAAAAAAATCATGTTATATAAATATTAAGATTTTGTCAAACAGATTTTATATAATGAAGAGGTATACAGTAAGAAAGAAGCGAGTCGTTTCAAAATTAACGATCGTATATAACGTCATGTCCCTTCAGTTTTTTTTCGCACACTAATGGTAAGCATTGTTCCAATCACAATTCTATTTGCATACTCGTTTTAATTTATCTTAAAAGAAATTTTATAAATGCAGTCATTATAAAATACAATAAATATGTTATTTTATTATAAATAATATTTTGTTATATTATTTGTTAATAAATAATTTGTTAATATTTGTTTTCAATATAAAATTTTAATTTATAAAAATATCATTTAATCAAAAAAAAAAGAAATGAATTAGTTTGTTTGTCTTTTTAGTTAAAGTTATTATTTTTTTATATAATTTAAAATAATAATAATAATACAGTGCTGGTCATAAGTAAGCTCACCTTCTTTAAAAATTCAATTCTGATTTAATTGTTTTAAAAATTTAAAACAAATAATTTATTACAATTCCTAATTATTAGATTTTTATTTATTTGTTATTCAAAAACTATTGCATAAAAATTAATAAAATCTAAAGATTATAATATAAATTTTATATAAAAATGTTTTTTAAATTTTTGAAATTAAATTTTTTAAGTATTAAAAATTGATTACAAATAAAAACTTTATTAAATTTATTATAATTTTATAAATTTTAAATATTAGTTAAATATAAATATATAAACAAGTTAATATTTAATTTGTTATATGCTTTGTATTCAAGAGATATTGTTTTTTTTATAATGTATAGTCAAACATATATATAATGATACAATTGTTTTAATCAAAAATATAAATATATTAAGATATTATTATAAAAAAGATTTATAACTCTTTTAGTATATTATTATTGATTAATTGTTTTATTATTAAATCTTATTCTTTTTATACTATTTATTAATAAACTTATATAATTTCAGAATACATATCTATAATTTTGAAAATATTACTATACAATTGTACAAAGAAACCTACTAACCAATTTTTAATATATAGAAAATATTAATACTATTAAACATAATTTATTATAATAAACTCAAAGCATACTAACAGCAATTGCCAAGTTCTAATTAATTATCTAAACTATAAGTTCACTTATTATTATATAAAAATCTTGAAATAAAGATATTGTTTTGTTTTTGAATTGGCTTCTCAATAGGAATTTGATTTTTAAGTTAGTATAATTAAGGATAGATCCCTAAATTATTTAGTATATAAAATTTCACAAATCAATTATGTCTCTTTTGAAAGAACATAATTATTTATTCATTACTTTAATTAAGAACATAATTCAAAAAACACTTGAATCAAGTGGCCTAAATTGCAAAAAACCTTTGTAGGTAGTTTTTTTTTGATTTTATATTAAAAAAAAAAAAACTTTTTTAATAGTAAAAAACATTTGAATTATGTCTTCACCTTTAATTTAGGGATCTATCTTTAAGCATAATATAGAACTTTCAAATTCTTTATCAGGTAAAACTGGTTTTGTTTAAATCATAAGTTATAATTTATTAGAGTAACTTGTAATACAAATAATATAAAAATCAGGAAACTACTTACTAACTAATTTTAACTTTTGGTATAGATTACAAATATTTATTAAATCAATATTATATTAATCAATTATAAAAATATATGAAAGATAAACTAGTATATAAAATAAATATAATGAAAATTTGAGATCTTTAGAGTTAGTATAAGATAGAACTTTTGGATTATTCTTATTAAACTAAATTCAAGTCAAGAATTGTAGTTTGTTAGAATTATTTGTAATAGATTAAATATTACTTTATAGTATAAAATCATTATCAACTGATCCTAACTTGAAACATCCATTAATATAAAAGTAAAAAAATCAATTCTTAAGATAAATTATAAGAGAATTTAAAATCTTTAGAATTCTATCTAGTCAGAATAAGATTAATTTGTTCAAATTAAGTATTTTTTTTATCATGATTACTTAACAACATAAAATAATATTATTAGCTAATAATTTGTAAAAAAATTTTTATTTCAAAAAAAATCTAGAGATAAGAATAAATAAAAATAAATAAAAATAGTAAAGTAAAAAAAAGAATAGAAAAAACAGTAATTGGTAAATAGAAAAGTTTGTTCGAGTTAAGTAATTTTATTTATGATTACTTGATAGCATAAATAATATTTATTGGCTAATGATTTATAAATTTTTTTTATTTTAAAAAAAAATCCAAAAATAAGAGAAAACAAATATAGTGGGTACAAAAAAAATTTAAATTTTTGTTTCATTACACAAAAAAATGTAATGACAATCAAATTCTAGATAAGTTCATTTTTGAAATAAGTTATTTATATTAAATGATTTATGCATACTGGTTTATATAAATAATTTAACTATTTTAAGTTACCAAATCAGTACTAGATATGAACAATATTGTTCAATACTGATCTCATTATACAAAGAACTGTCATAAAATAATTATGAGATAATAATATAATGAAACCTGTCAAAATCATATAAATTACAGGTTTTTCAAAAAGCACAACATGTGATCATATAAATTGACTTAAAAAAAGAGGCACTTTTGTTTCACTTCCCATTTCTGAAAGACCCAAAATTCTTATATCAAAAGAATATCGTTATCTCAGACAATTTATACAAGCTAATAATATGATTATTGCTACTAAAACAGCTGTCAGACTTAATGAAACCCATCTCAACTTAAATATATTAGTTTGTACTATCCAATAAGTTCTTAAAAAAGATCTTTAATATATTATTTGCTGACTGTTACACATTCCCCTTTTCCAACTCTTTCACATTGTTGCCTATCTCGATTAGACTCATGAATATGTGCAAGACAGGTGGTCTAGTATGATTTTTTTTAACGAAACAATATTATAAATGTTTAGAAACACATAACAAATAAGATACCATTATGTAATCTGCATTTGCACCATAATATAATAAAACACCCATTCAAGATTTATGTATGAAAAGCATTTTTTGTATAGTGGTCAATTGCACTAGTTTTATTTACAAAAAACCTTAATTTACAAAGATACTATAAATTTTTTAAAACTCACTTTTTCCTTAATGCTTTATAAGCAGGTCATGGCTGGCATTTTCAACAAAACAACTTTCCTGCCCATACAGCTCAGGTTACACACAGCTTTTTGAAAATCACAGTGTTCAAATACTCAACTGGTCTTCAAATTTGTCTAATCTGAATTCTATAAAGAATCTATAGACCATACTAAAAAATAGAATAGAAAAAACTGTAAACAATAGGCTTATAAAAAAAAAAAACTTAACACTACTGATTTTTGATTAATTATTTAAAAAAAATGAGATGGTTTAGATCAAGACCTCTATTTTAATTTAGCAGATAGTATAAAAAACTATCTTGAACAAGTGATTGAAAGGAAGGAAAAAAAATCTGACTATTGATATTTATGTATTTTTTTTTATGATGATTGTTGTCATTTTTATAAATTTTTATACAAATAAAGTCTATTTTACAAGTTTTTTATTAGTCACAAGAAAAGTTTAGATCTTTTCTGTGACTACTGTAGATATTTTAAAGTAAAAAAAAAAAATAGCAAGTAAGCAAATAAAAGTAATAGAAATTGATAAATAAGGAAAGTAACAAGTAGAAAAATAGAAAAAGTAGCAAATAGAAAAATAGAAAAAGTAGCAAGCAAGAGAATAGGTAAGTAGCAAATTGAAAAATGGAGTAAACAGTAAGTAAAAGAATAAAATAAGTAGCAAATGAAAAGATTATTAGTTATATATTTTAAAATTAAAATTTTAATAAAAATTTATAAAAAAAAAATATTAATATAATTAAGAGAAAAATAATATATACTAATGCTAATATTAACTTGTGTTTAATATTTTTATATTGTAATTAAAATAAATTTAGATTTATTATTACATATTTAAAAATTAATTGAGAGTAATCTGTTTTTTACTAACAGTATTATATAGTAATATTTAACTTTTTAATAAACATATTGTCATTAATATTTTAAGTCTACAGTAAAATTGTTTGAAGGATTTGTTAAAAAATTCATCAAGTTATCTAAAGATTATAAAGCTATATTTATAGGAATTATAGGAACCAATTGGTTTTTTTCCTTCATGTTTTTTATATTTTTTTTATTTTTTTAGATGTATTTTAAATAGCTTGAATAATATCTTTATTAGTTAATATTAAAAAAAAACCAACTCTTTTCTCCTCTTCTCTGCCTGCTATACATCAAGCCAACTTTGGAAAGCAAGCATGCCAAATCATATTTATAACTTGGAGGCCAACCTGTATACTTGACTGTAGCGCCTTTATATGTTTGGGTATTTCTAATCCTTCTTAGTTCACATTAGGCACCTATTTAAATATTAAGTCTAGGTTTTAATATTACATTTTACTAGTGCTTAGGTAGATTTATAGGATATTACTGGAATGGTCAGGACCACTTTTGTTAAGTCTTACATTAAACTCTTCTTAGCAAAAAAAGATGTATATTAGTTATTAGATTTGTAATATTGCCATATAGCAATCTCTTATAAATAATAAAGATACTAATAGCCATTCTGATATTAAAAAAAAAAAAAAATTATATTATATTTAAAATACTAAATAATATATAGGATT